AGGAAGACAGTTGAGGGGGGCAGGAGAACGTTACACTTCTTGTGCAATAACGGCTTTAGGGTGGGGATGCTCGAAGTAAATAATTTTTGTTGTTATTATTACTACTATTTCTTACTGTTACTATTACTCTCAGAATTACTACTATTATTACTATTATGCTCGTGATTTTGCCGGCCAGGTCATACTCTGGGGTCACAGACCCTTGGAGGCAAGAAGTTTGCAGCATGGAAGTAACTCTTCAACCTGAGCTCAGCTGTCCCAACGAGCAGTGTTTTGGTGTGGGTAAAGGTCTCGGCACTGGGATTGCTTTGGCATCCTTGGAAGCTCTGCTGGCAGATGAGAACGGCCGGGTGAAAGGCGTGGTCCTGGAGGCTCATCTTCTCCAACAGTTTCATTTCGACTTGCATTTATATCATTTCAGAAGAAGGCTAGTTGCTGCTGCGCTGCTTGATGGATTTTGTGTTGGGCGAACTTGTGATGTGTGTCAGTGAGACTGTGGAGCACAAAGAGCTGAATCACATGGCTCCGTAGCCAGTTCCTGCACTAGGCACAGGTACTGGTAGTCCTACAGTACTGGTCCAAGCCTGCTTCTTGAATCTGATTCCAAGAAGTTTTCTGAGTCCGGGCTTATTCCCTGCAGGGTTTGCCAAAGTGCGCACAGGCCTCGAAGATTTACCAGACAGGGGGCAAAGTGCGGATGAACCTAATGCTGCAGGCGCCCATCCTCTCCTTTGCTGCCGCAGCGAAATCTGTGCTGTCGGTGCTTCCCTGGCGGCGCCTTCAAGAAGGCGCAGATTCTGTGGACGTCTCACTGTAGCCCTGGATTCCGAGCGCAGCATGCCTATAGCACCTTTTTTTTACAGCCATTCGACGTGCAGGTGTGGAGACATGGATTCGGGACAGCTGGGGTGATCTCCAGTTCGATTCTGCAAGCAGAATACGGGCAGTAGACGCCAAGACTCCAGCCGCGGTCTCGGCTTTTACTTGCAGGGTTAAACATGTGAGCTGTTATGTAAACTCCTTAAAGGGGCTTATATAGGGGATCACATAGTGGATTACTAAAGGGGTTATGAAGGGGGATACTAGGAGTTTGGGCTATAGCTCATGTAACCTGGTAGAGCAGCCCTGCCAGGGCCTGGTTCCACCTTGGTTGGGAGGAGGTATCCACCAAGTCTTTTAGAGGGAGCACTTTGTGATCACATCCCCGTAATTATGAGCCTCCCAACCCCACCAATGATAAACGATTTCTTTTAGATAGTGCTGCTATATCAGGGGCTTTATACTTAGAATATTCCCCCATAGTCTCGTTTCTGATATGTAGCCCGCATAACCCCTGTATAATACCAATATAATCCTGTAGAAGCCTACATAATTCCTATGCTCATACAACGAGAGGTTTGTTGATGTCAGGTAGTCATCCTCCACGGAACGGAAGACGGCAAGGTCCCCTTCAGTCATGGCAGGCCCAGTACTTTGGAGGGTCAGGGGATGTAGTACGTGGGTTAGGGTTTAGGGTTTTAGGGTTAATGATGAACGAAAAAGAAGATGGAAGCTACAACTATTGTTTTGCAATTTAGGGTCTAGGGTCGCGGGGACGTAGTCAGTGGGTTAATACTGGAAAAGAGACATGCAAACGACAAAGGAATTTCGGTATTTCCGAATTTAGGGTTTAGGGTCAGACTGAGGCTCCAAGTAACGAGCGGAGTGTCGGTTTCAATATTCCGCTTGAAGAGCTGATGGAACTCGCATAGGAGTTTCCGTTTTTCATGTCCACGGATGATGCAGTCTTGAGGGGTCGGAATCTTTTTGGGAAACACCCGCCAGGCCAACGGAAAGTAATTTGGATTGGGATATTTTCGCCCCCCAGAGACTCAGAGAGAATAGGATGTTATCGTCCTTTGGGTAGAGTATCTCAGAGGAAGAATACCATCTTACTGCGTTCAACTGCCAAAACACCCCTGAGATGGAGGATGGCATATTTTTTACTTGTGATCCTGTAAGCCCTACTTGGGGTACTCATCTACGCATTCCATGCTGAGATAGCTGCGGCAGGCGGCTGTCAGAAATTGGTGGGGTGCCGCCTCTAGACTGAAGAAAGGTGCAAGACAGCTCAGCGTTGGGGTGTAGGGCTTAGGGTTGGCGTCTAGAGCATAGGGTTTGGGGATTGATGTTGTAGGGTTTGGGGTTCACCGATCGAAAATCGAATTGTAGAATTTCTGCTTGTAGCACTGCAGAGGCCTCAGCTCTTGGGCCCCGGCACTGAGGTTGCATGACTTCCCCTGCTTCCACAATGACATCTGCAAACATCCTGGCTTGGTGCCGCTGCTCAAAGGCATTTTCCCGAAGTGGTGATCTGGGAGGATCAAAAGACCTTGCCTCTGCAGGTGAAGGCGCGCAGATGATGGAGCTCCATCTCCTCTGGTGTTGATGCTTGGGTTCTTGTTGTCCCGCACATTTTGGACTGAACGTCACTTGAGCGTACCGACGTTTCATCGGCCTGGATCTTTTCCGACCAGCCAAGCCTATTCTGTTCCTTGTTTTGCCTTGGCCTGGGCACCGTCTGGTTTCTGCGCGGCTCTGTCGACGAACAATTGCGGTGGACTTCGGTGAAGACAGACAAGATGAAGAGATTCATGAAGAGATTGCCGCAGCGAAGTCATACTTGGGGTTGTTCTCTAATTACGGTTCTCGTTTCCCAAGGAGCTGCCGCTGACAAACGTCCTCTCCCATGGTCACGGCAGCCACCTGTCTACATTCTGCTGACACGCGCTTGATGCAGCCTTGGCGGCAAGAAAAAAATGTGCAACCTCTTCATTGGATGTGCGGGTGCACGTGAGAGAACCACCCACCCATGTCTCAGGCAGTTTGATGCTAGATTGATCCACGTCGATCCTCATAGCCATAGCTGCAGTCGAGCAGCTAGCAGCAGCCTTCGCATTTGTCAAGCCGTTGCAGGTGGTGCTCAGCGGCATCCTGATAGAATAAAGAAGCTGCTTGGCAATGCTTTAAGAAAGGACTTGCAGGGAGCCTTTGCAACAGGGTTGGTTTGAGATACGTTGGGAAGGGCGGGACAAAATTGCAAAAACCAAGCCGCAAGACAAGTCAGTGCTCTTCATAGACCATAGTTGTGATTGTCGCCTTCAGCGTTATTCTCGTCATCGCAGCTGCATGTGAGCCTGTGATTGATAGACCAGATTTACGATTCTTTCAGCTTTATTCCTGGGCCGTCCTTTCTCTTGCCACTGTTGCTGTCACTTTTGCCATAGTGGTTCGCAAAGGCAAGTATTTGCTACGGTCAGGTACTAGCATTCTTTGCGCTAGTCACACTACTCTTGTTTTTCGCATTGCAACTACTGGCGTGACTATTTTGGGGGCGACGTTGTTCATGGTGGTGATGGCGAAAATATGAGCTGCATGTGATAGAGCATGATGACAGTGACAACGATCATGATCCGTTCTTTGCTGCTGCTTCGCAGCGACAATGACTATTGCTACAATTGTCGGTATCACTACTATTACTACTACTACTACTACTACTACTACTACTAGCCGCCCCCCCCCTCCCCCTCCCCCTAGGCACTACCTTTTTACTTAAATCTAAATTTAAATTTCAGGAGG